TCTCTAAAAAGAGCCGGAAATCCCATCACTAGTGGACAGTGATGCCGGTCATCCAGCAGTGTTCACTTTGTTGTTACTAGGCTGTTGCTGAACAGGCTACTCATATTCCTGATAAATATTGGCCAATCCAGTGAGTGCTGTGAGACAAATCCTTTTTATGCTTGCAAAGAGAAATTACAAGTTATAGTCATTCATAATCAGCAATGAGTAGTTAACAGGCCTTGGCCTTATCAAGTTATAAAACACTGTAGAGCCTTGTGTGAGTGTATATATTTATTTTCAGCCCACATGTACACTTTCTCCAAAATAAATTCAAACTTGGGCACCTTCTTTTTTTTTTTCATCAATTAAAATGTTTACTGTGTAATCCTGGAAAATGAACAAAGAAATCATTAAAAGTCCTAAATTACTATGACATTCATGCCCATGATGAGTGTACATATACTTCTGACAGCTGTAAGTACAGTTATATAAAAAAAGTAAGATTATTTCATAAAGTGCATTTCACAGAGATATTTATGTGCAAAGAGAAAGGTTAGAATGATGTGTACAAAAAACAGCAGTGAAAAGGTCTCAGTTAGCATGTGAAAAGCTACAGTTCATGACAGCACAGTTAGAAATAGTCTGAATATGTCTGGCGTGTTTGGAGAGCTTCCAAGGAGAAAGCCTCTTCTCTCTGCAGAGAACATGGCAGCGCAGATTAGGTTTACAAAGTTGCATCTGAAAAAGTCCTTTGAACAAACAAGACCAGAGTCGACATGTTTGGCCACAATGACTTTATCTGACATCGGCAGTGGGAAAAGACGGGAACTATTTATCCAGCTGAGAATCCAACCAGAGACTTCAAAACATTTGCACCTGTTTGATACCCAACCTAGCCACTAAACTGTCAGATCACACCAAAACATTATTTCTTTTAATGATAGGTAAGTTAATCTTTCACAGCAAAAAAAAAGCACAGCACATTTATGTGGTTCTGTGATTGTTAAATATGGCACACTTACACTGATCTAATGAAAAGGAATAAAGTAAAGTGGTTCAGCGAGTTGTTTTCAATGATAACAAATACACCGCACAATATAAAATGAAAAAATGAATCGGTAGGGAGACAGATGGGGTTTTTGACAAGCTTGGACAATTCCAGGCAAGTTCCTGCATGTCCCAGTCTTTCCACCCCGCCTTAGTAACTAATATTGTTCCAGCAGCTTGAGTTAGATTTATCTTAGGACAGATATGAACAGAACAGGTAACAATGTAACTCAATTTCAGGAATATAAAAAATGAGCATTGAAGTTACCAGTGATGTGTTCCACATCTGTTTGATGTTTTTGTGAATTTATGCTCTTTGTGAGCAGTGTCAAAGTAAAGTCACCAATATCCTTTCAATAACTGTCCCAGTGAGAGTGTTTCAAATTATTTGAAGACACAGAAAACATCAAAGTGACTTTCCAGCACAAACTGTAAGCTGCAATCAACTGTTTTAGGGCAGAGTGACTTACAATAACTCACTGTCATGTGGACACACACACCGAGGAGTGGCTGACGGTTGGTATGTTGCATTCTCTTCCGCGGTACTGAGCTGTTAATATCGAGCCTCTCTGTACACACCCTGATCACTTCTATTCAAAAAGAATTCACAAGCCTTTATGATTAAAACAAAAAACTTTATTCTAAAGTCGCTGAACAGAAAATTTTATTTTACACTTTTTATACAAAAAGCAGAACACAAACTTGCTAGTTGTCCGTGAAGTAAACAGTAGTCGTTGCTCATAAACCTGTTGGTGAACTTTTAGAAAGAAATCTATGCAGAGACACGTTTTTGTGGCAGCAGCACAGATAAGCACTATCTACACTGGCAACAGGGTAGTGTTAGCAATGAAACATTTTACTAGGGCCTACGCTTTACACATCTACAGTTCAATTATTTAACAGTAAACATTCATGGACACCCCAGAAGGGCAATACATGTCCAGTTTTTGAGTAGAAATCCCCAATGAGATTACACAACAACAAACAACAAAGCAACATAGCGATCATAAACAGTACAGTGAACAAGTCTGGCATTTATTTGTCCCAGTTATTAAAAAATGAAATGACAACTCAACACATTTCAGACATCGGTGCCTATATACTGGAGTATGTATGTGGAGTACTGAAATAGTTGTGTAAGTTCTTTATTCGTGCAGAAAAAGCTGGAATCAGTCAGCTTTGGTTGGTGCATCACAGTGGAAATAATTTGTAATAGTTAAAAAGGAGTGAGCTTAGCCAACC